TCTCAGTTGTCCAGGGGAAAAATAGCAAGGGGATTCGGGAAAATAAAAAAGAGACAAAAACTGAGGGAGGTCAAGTGGAGCCTTACTTTTGGGTGGAAGAAGAGGATCAGCCCAAGAACTGTAGAGCGTTTATTTACACTTGTGACAAAGCTCAAATCACAAAACACGGGGTTCCCTGGTGACTAATGACAGGAACTGTCTCAGGCAAGATGTTTTTCCCAGCACTAAGGTAGCTTGATTGTTTGCATCACTTTAGCCTTCTCTTGCCCCCACTTGTGTGACCAATTCCCAGCTTCAGTCACTCTCTACAATATGCAGCTTTTGTCCTTCCTTTATTGAGTTTATCCCTGATTATTTTATTTCTTTTGATGCTATATATTGCCACTTGTTCATAAAAATACAGCTTTATTGAAATGCAACCATGCTTGTTTGCCTGCATTTTTTCTTTGACTTATTTTGTGATACAAGGGCAGAGTTCAGTCATTGCAACTGAAACCATCTGGCCAACAAGGCCTAAAAATATTTACTGCTCTGCCCTTGACAGAGTTTGCTGATCTCTGTTCCAGTGCATAATTCATTTGCAGAAAAGCTGACCTTTTCTTTTATCCCAGAAAGATGCTACTTAGTAAGATGTGAAGGAATAAAAATAGTATTGTTTAGCATGAGTTTGAAAGTCAGTGAGACCTAAGTCCAGATGCTGGGCTATCAGGCTTCCCTAATTGACCTCTACACAGTTGTTTCTCCTCTTTGAAATCTTAGTTTTCTTTTCTTATGAGAGAAGAAAGTAACTCTTTAATGTCCCGTAGATGAGCTAAATGAAGACCAGGGTCAAAAACATGAAACTTGTCCCTCTCTGTCCATCACTATTTCCACTGCTTGGAAGCTAAATTTTTTTAAAATTATTTATTTGGTACAGGGTCTTGTTACACAGCTCGGACTCATAGTGATCCTCCTGTCTCAGCCTCCCCAGTGCTGGGATTATAGACGTGTGCCACCATATCCCGTTTCAGGGCCAGCAAGGCAAGTCTGGTTCTGGGGCCAGCATTGTGGTACCAAGGGTCAAACTCAGGTCCTTATGCTTTCCAAGCAGGCGCTTAGACCACCAAGCTGTCTCCCCAGCCCAGAAACTAATTTCTAATTGCAACTTTCTCCTCCAATCTCCCACACTAAATTTATAACACAAGCTTACTAGATAGGCCTTTATTGCTTGTTGTGCCATTTTTTTTCCTTTTCATGAAAAGTTAAGTGCAGAAAAAACTGTTGATTATTCAGTAGTAGATGATACTAGAACAAGTTTTTGACTTTTTTCTTTTCCACTTAAGAAAAAGATAGATTCTCTCCATTTCCTAGTAAATATATCCTGGCTCATAAATTTACGGAACACATTTAGGTTATGAGATTATAAAACTGCAGCAGTTTCAGCCACCAAAAGCTTGTCTCCAGCAATGTCTATTTTGTCGATGTAAATGACACCAGGCTTCCAACTGGGACACACTCAAATGCATTTCCTCTTACTCCATATTTAAATCTCCTCCAAAAGAATGATGGCTATATCGGAAAGAGCCTAAATATGCTTAGCAACTCCTGCTATATAGATCCAGTGCGGACTTCCACTCACCACTAAAAGAGAAGAAATACTTTGGAAGTTTGACTGTCCGATGACGTCATCTAGCACACAAGCCTTAGATCTAGTGCTTACAACACATAGAAGACGTTTCTACCAGCTTTTTTTTTTTTTCTTTTGGCAGAGTCTCACTATGGAGTGTAGGCTGGCTTCTATTTGCTTATGTATCGCAGGCTGGTTTTGAACTCACAGCATTCCTTCTACCTCCGCCTTCCTAGTGCTGGGATTACAGCAGTGTGCCACCATGCCCAGCTCAGTCAGATTTGTAAAACTTGATTCTTTGCAAAAATTAGCTATTTTGGGGCTGGGGAGATAGCTCAATAGCTTAAGTGCCTGTCATGCAAGCACAAGGTCCTGAGTTCAATCCTTGGTACCAAAATAAACAAACAAACAAATGAATAACTATTTTACACTATTAAAAAAACAGCAGGATATTATGAATAGTCATTTCTAGTGTGACATGATATTTAGAAATGATCGAGTATTGCAACTATGTTATCTACTTTTTGAAGTCAAGAAACATCTATGTATTTTTAACCTAAGTGATCAAAGAGTTTAGAAGCAGAGAATTTGACAGTTGGAACAAACCAGCATTAAAGGCTTGTGCTTTTCCCCAAAGAGTTTGTCTCAAGAACACAGGTGTCATGAAAACCACCACTAACTCAAAGCCAATGTGGGAAAAGGGTCACATCAATATCAGGGCATTGGACCTGTGGTTTCTGGCAAATCTGCCACCAGTGGCCATTTGATCTACAAATATGGTGACATTGACAAAAGAACCATTGAAAATTTGAGGAGGCTGCTGAGATGGGGAAGGGTTCCTTCAGGTATGCCTGGGTCTTGGACAGAGTGAAAGCCAAGTGTGAGCGTGGTATCACCATTGACATCTCCCCGTGGAAATCGGAGACCAGCAAGTACTGTGTGACCATCATTGATGTCCCTGGACACAGACTTTATAAAAACATGGTCACAGGCACCTCTCAGTGTGACTGTACTATCTTGATTGTTGCTGCTTGTGTTGGTGAGTTTGAAATTGGTATCTCCAAAAACGGAGATCGGCGAGCATGCCCTTCTGGCTTATGCACTGGGTGTGAAACAATCATTGGTATTAACAAGATGAATTCCACTGAGACACCTTATAGGAGGAAATTCTTAAGGAATTCAGCACCTACATTAAGAAAATCAGCTACAACCCTGATACGGTAGCTTTTGTGCCAATTTCTAGTTGGAATGGTGACAACATGCTGGAGCCAAGTGCTAACGTGCCTTAGTTCAAGAGATGGAAAGTCACTCAAAGATGACAATGCCAGCAGAACCACACTGCTTGCAGCATTAGATTGCGTCCTTCCACCCACTTGCCCAAATGACAAGCCTTGAGTCTGTCTCTCCAGAATGTCTATAAAATGGAAGTTTGGTACCATCCCTGTGCAAGGAGTGGAGACTGGTGTTCTTGAATATGTCATGGGAGTCACCTTTGCTCCAGTCAATGTCACAAGTGAAGTTAAGTCTGTTGAAACATACCATGAAGCTTTGAGTGAAGCTCTTTTTGGGAACAATGTGGGCTTCAACCTCAAGAACGTGTGTGTCATCATTCTTAATGTTTGTCATGGCAATGTTGCTGATGACAGCAAAAATGACCCACCAATGGAAACAGCTGTTTTCACTGTTCAGGTTACTACCCTGAGTCACCCCAGGCAGATCAGCGCTGGCCGTGCCCCTGTCCTGGATTGTCACACAGCTCACATTGCCTGCAAGTTGCTGAGCTGAAAGAAAAGATTGATTGCTGGTCTGGTAAGAAGCTGGAAGATGGGCCAAAATTTTGAAAGCTAGAGATGCTGCCATTGTTGACATGGTTCCAGGCAGGCCCATGTGTGTTGAGAGCTTCTCTGACTACCCACCTCTGGGTCATTTTCTTGTTCATGACATGAGACACAGTTGCTGTGGGTGTCATCAAAGCAGTGGACAAGAAGGCTGCTGGGGCTGGCAAGGTCACCAAGTCTGCCCAGAAAGTTCAGAAGGCTAGATGAGTGTTATCCCTAACACCTGCCACCCCAGTCTTAATCAGTGGTGGAAGAGCAATCTCATAACTGTGTCTCCTAACTGGCCATTTAAGTTTAATAGTGAAAGACTGGTTAATAATAACAATGCATCGGCAAACCTTCAGAAGGAAAAGAGAATGTTTTGTGGACCCTGTATGTGCGTGCGTGTGTGTGTGTGTGTGTGTGTGTGTGTGTGTGTGTGTGTGGCCAGCTCAACCCACCAGGGGGTGGCGCTGGCTGGCATGTGGTGCTGGGGGATCGAACCTCGGTCCCTCTGCTTTGCTAAGCTTGTTCTAAGTAGGTGCTTTAGACCACTGAGCCATCTCACCAGCCCCATCAATATGTTTTTAATGGAAACAACTTGACCAAAAATGTGTTATACAATTTTAAGACCCACTGAAACAAAGTTTAATGAGAAAAAAATATAGAAAAGGCCTGTAACAAATCTTATTGCATTCTAAACTGACTTTCCATCCTCTGACAATTCTGACTAAAGATGACTAAATTTCTCTCATTGTGCTGCTACTTATCCACGAATCTGGCTATAGTATGTAGGGCCATACAGTTAAAAGTGTGTGTGTGTGTGTGTGTGTGTGTGTTGAATCTTGAGTTTTCCAGGTCTTGCGTTATCATTATTGTCGATCATCACAGAATGGTTTTCAATTCATGTAACATCTATTCATTTTTGTTTTCTAATTTCCCTTAACCCACTTTCTAAGTATTATACACTCAAAGAAAATATTTTTGGGAAGTATATGAACTGCATAATGCATTTTACAATAAGATCATGACTTCCCCTTACTGTGACCACCTGTTTATCTGACTCAACTATGGACAGTCTCCTATTTGTCAGTCATGTCATGTTTTTGGCTTGTATTAAGTTTACATTATCTCATGCGGCTTATTAGACTAATAGAGTGTACTCTGAGTATTAGAATATTAATATTAACTCCTCATTTACATGTGCCAGTAATAAGATACATTTTATCTCTCATATTCTAGTTGGCATAGGGTGGAAGTACAACATAGATCTTGCATTTTATCCCCACTAAACTTTTCTTGATGAGGTTAATCTTATTTTTCTTTGAT